AATAGATTCTGTCCTTCCAACAAATATTCAGTTTCTTTAAATTTTCACTGTTTTGTGAATCACATCTTGCTCTGCAAACTTTAATTACACGTGCTTGGAATTAAGTTTTAGCTCTTTTCAGACAATAATAAAGCCTGGATTCTGATCAATGTGGACGTGTTTGTATGTTCATTATAGTCATTCAAACTATGTTGGTTTGTATAAACTTGGCAGAAAATACTCTGCATTTGACCAAACTGGTGACCGATGTATTTAGAGAACAGTTTCACCTGCAATAAGTAGATGCAATCAGGGAGGGAGGGGGTCCTTAAAGATGCATCAGATGAACTCCTGCTTTCCAAGGCATCTCAACAGTGATTAGAAATGGGGGGGCAATGAGGGGATGGGGGTGGGGGTGGGCAGGAGAGAGAGAGAGAATGTGTGTGTTCGCCTAACACTTAGTTCATCATCCCAGTCCCCAAGGCCTGGTGTCACTTTCTGTGACTTCTATGAGCTGCCCCATAATTCCCAAGTTACACAAGACAAGTTCTCCTTCGCATTTGAGCAGCTTTAAAGTGGCCCATCAGCAAGGACAGGCCGGGAGATGATGCAGTGGCCATCTCAAAACCTATCAGCCAGATGGGCTGGGTAGTACTGCAGTTGCAAGTTCAAGTGGCATTTGCCAGTAAATGGATGGAGTTGGAGAATATCATGCCAAGTGAAATAAGCCAATCCCGAAAAACCAATGGCTGAATATTTTCTCTAATATGTAGATGCCAATTTACAATAAGGTGGAGGTCACTAGAGAAGAATAGCATTAGATGGGGAGGGGAGAGGAGGGGAGGGGAGACAGTCATATGTCTTTTATTCTACTATGTATATATGTGACTGTATGACCAATGTGATTCTGCAACATGTACACTCAGATAAACGAGAAATTATATCCCATTTATGTATGATATATCAAAGTGCATAAATACATTCTACTGTCATGCATAACTAATTAAAACAAATTAAAAATTTTAAAAATCAGAGTGGTTTGAAACACAAGCTCATTTCTCTTGTGCACTTCGGTGTCCAGGGAAAGGGGTTCTACTCTACGTCATGCTGGGAAGCCAGAGAGCAGAGGAGAAGAGCGCTCTGGAGACCCAGGACAGCCTTGGCTGGCACTACCCGATACAGAAACGGCAAACATCGTCTCTGCCCTGAGATCTGCAAGAGAATTCTGCTGCATTCCCAGGAGGTGGAGAGCCAGGATCATATACCATACCTCCCATGGTTGGGTCTGTCACTTGCCACCAAAATAATGCTGATTAGTAAAATCTATGAAGAGAGGCAAGACTAGAAAGACCATAATCCAACCAAAGGAGAAAGTGGGTTCAGATAGAGAAGAATAGAGAGCAATAGGCTCATCGCTGGGGAATGGAATCTCCAGGTCAGAGCTTCATCTTCTAGAAACCAATTCTGCTTTGTTCAGCTCTTCAAACCAGAACTACTACCTGCAACTCCAAAGGCAGGCTCTTAGCCTCTGGGTCATTTTCTAGGGGAAGGGGGCTCTGCAAGTGTAAATCTGTAGGGAGAAGGTATATGCAAAGCGTTTTATGAAAAACCAGTAATTCCAGTTACCCAACATATTTAATCTGCCCAAGTAGAGTGACCACACAGAGACCCAGTTTTTCCCTGACGAGTGCTGACGTATGACAATCATGAAATTTTTAACATCCTCTTACTCTGAAATTTCCCTAGTTTGAATAGCAAATCATATGGTTATCCAGACTATAACCCAGGTTGGCCTTGTTTTAGAGGCTGGATGACCTTGCCTATGTCTTAAAGGTCATCTTCTCGCCCCCTCCCCACCCCCGCAGCAACCTTATGCACGAGTCAAACTAAGCCACTCATGGAGACTAAAGGCCCCATGAACTCAGGCCAGCGGCCCTCAACACAGACCTCCCTGCCATGATCTTGTCCTCCTTTAGGGCTCAGTGCCTTAGTGACCCCCTGACAGACTGTTCCTCCTCTGGGCATCACTAACCCCTCACATGACTCATGCACACACCATGTGTGTCTAACAACATACAAATGTGATTGAACACCCCCTTCCCTAAAATCCTCTAATGGCTTTCCAAGTTTCTTAGGCTAGGAAAGGCCACGTGGTCTTGACCTTCTCCCTTCTCAGCCTCCATTCCCTTTGCTTGTGGGGCTCTCAGTTTATGGACGCCCTTCATAGGCATCAATCTCCCACTCAGCACAGGAAGGCACACTTGTTTCTCATTGCCTAGAATCTCTTCCTTCTTCAACTAGTTAAATCTTACTCACATGTCAAATCTCAGTTAATCAAGATTTCTCCAGGGAAACAGCTCCCACATCAGACCTTAGGATTGCACGTGGGGACAAGAAACCAAAAATGCCACTAAACATGATGAAACAGATGAGGATTTCCATGTATTATACAAAGTCAGGACATGGGCAATTGTTAGTATTGCTATTTAGCAGGTTAAAAAGGGCAAGAATAGAATTTCTGTAATCCTGTTCACATTTCCTCATAATCACAAAGTATCTGCTTTAGCTCCAGACATTATATCCACATGCAAAGTGAGATGACACCATTCTGGTTTGTTTTCTTATGTCCTCCAGTAGATTGTCACTCAAACCTCAAAGGTTAGAATTGCTGTGTGGATTTGTTAGCCCCGTGAAAAGCTGGGCGGCTGATTATTGGGCTGCATATCTTGCCACCCCCAAAGAAAATTTTGGTTCTATTAATAAGAAAGGTAATAGAAAAATTTTTAAGGAACAGACTCTGCCAGGATCAAATCTCCTTCTCATAAATTCCCACTGCACCATGTACCTCCTGCTTGATTTTTAACAGATTTTTTAAAATTTATTTCTCTCTCCCTTCATACTGCAATCTTCAAGTGCCCAGGAATTGGAAAATTATGTTTTGTTTATTATTGTATTTCCACAGAACTCATATGCATTGATTGAATAAACCAGTTAATGAACAAACTAGCAAACTCATATCCCTCTGCTCAGGTACAAGATGCAAGCTCTATTTGCTATATACCAGGTTCCAAGCATGATGTTATATATTATTAAAGGAACAAATGATTTAAATATCATTAAATCATTTTATCAGAGAATACAAAGCTTCAACAGGAACTTTTTTCCTCTGTTAAATCTCTTACCTCCAGGTTGAAATATTTTGCTGTCCTAAAAGATTTGGTTTATTTCCTAATTAAAACCAGTAACCAGCTGGGTGTGATGGGGCTCACCTATCATCA